TTCCTGCCCAGGTTTCTACTTCCTTTGTGATGGACAGTGATGTGGAAACATAAGCCAAGTAACCCTTTCCTCCCCAGCTTGTTTTTTCAGTCATGGTGTTTTATCATAGCAATAATAACCCTAACTAAGGTGCTCCTTACACTGATGTCAATGTTAGGTTAGCAGTACACTACTCCATTAGTCTTTTTTTTTAAATAATTAATTTTATTTTATTTTATGTGCATTAGTGTGAAGGTGTTAGATCCCTTGGAATTGGCATTACAGACAGTTCAGTTGTGGCTGATGGGATTTGAACCCAGGTCCTTTGGAAGGGCAGACAGTGCTCATAACCACTGAGTCATCTCTCCAGTTCCTTTTTTTAATATACTATTTATTTATTTATCTATTATGATACAATGTTGTATCTGCATGTACACTTGCATGCCATTCCAGAAGAGGGTACCAGATCACATTATAGATGGTTGTGAGCCACCATGTGATTACTGGGAATTGAACTCAGGACCTATGGAAGAGCAGCCAGTGCTCTTAACCTCTGAGCCATCTCTCCAGCTAATTCCACTAGTCTTCACCGGACAACCCCAAGAAAGACACAGCTTAGGAGAAGAGCTAGGGCCATATTTCTGCCTGTAAGTGTGACCTCTGTCTTAACTCCCAGGAAGGGAGATGCTAACCACTGTCCTGTCTGTTCTCTTGTGTCCAACAGAGCTGTGGGGTCGACTTTGAGGTCAAAGCGTTTGCCACAGACATCATAGATGCCAAAGAGGACCAGATCCCCAAGAAGTAAGAGGACTCTTATGGGACTCGGGGAGGGTCCGGATGGTACAGAGATGGGGATAAGAAGCGGCCCCATTTTATCCTGGTGTGACAGAACTCTGTCCACAGCTTGGTTCCCTGTGGCTGATGTCATGGAACCTTCCCAGATCAAGGCAGATAAGGACTGCCATTTATACGGGGGGAGGGGGAGACATAAAAGGGAATGACAATGGACTTAAAACTCTAGGAACCAATGGGCCCCCCAAACCTTCCTGGTCCTTTCTTTTTCTTTTACATTAGTAAATTTTATTTTATTTTATTTTTTTAAATTTTGGTCCTTTCTTTCATTTTCTTTCTATTTACTTATTTTCTCTTCTTAGTTTTTATTTTATTGTGAAACGATCTCACTCTGTAGCCAAGACTGGTCTAGAACTCACGGGTGCTCCTTCTGCCTCAGCTTCCCGAGCACAAGAATGCCAGGTATAAGATAGCATGCCTATATTTTTTCTTTTTTAAGAAATGTCTTAACACTAGGAAGTTTCCAATTCTAACCACTTTTAAGTATATGACTTCCTAACGGTCTATTCACAATGTTTCACCATCATCTGAATCTAACTCAGATTTGTATCATCCCAAACAGAATCTGTCACCAACAAACATTACTCCTACTCACCAGGTGCTCGGTTTTCTTTTTTAAAAAATTCTTAGAAAATTTTATACACATATGAAATTACACATTTCATATGTGTAATATGAAATTACACATTTCATATGTGTAATATGAAATTACACATATGTGTCTGAAATTCTCTCTACTCCCTCCATATACTCCCAGCACCTCCCCCTCCCAACCTATACCTTCTCTCTATTTGATAACTCACTTTCACTCCTAAGTCTCCACCCATCCCATGTTGTCCTCATGCTTGGCACCCAGATCTCCTGGTGCTGTGTGTTTTGCTGTGGGTCTGACCCATGACATTGTTAGGCAAGCACTGAACTCCCACGCTATGACAGTGACAATGTATCACAGCTACACAAGTGTATTACATTGGTCTGGTCACATAAGGCATCTGAAACCATGATACAGGCTCTCCGGAGAAGAGGCTAATCAGAGTCTGACAGGAGGCAGGGGACCCTCGAGAACAGTGCTGGCTTATCATTCAGCTCCTGGAATCTTAGAAGAGGGATCAGAACAGGCCTTTGCCACACCCCCTGGCAGTGGGGTGTGGGGTACTAACCATGAACCCTGGCTCTGTTCTCCTCAGGAGCTCTGTGCGGTTACTGATCCGGAAAGTGCAGCATGCCCCACCTGACATGGGTCCCCAGCCCTGTGCTGAGGCATCCTGGCAGTTCTTCATGTCTGACAAGCCCCTGAACCTCTCAGTCTCCCTCACCAAAGAGGTAATCCACGTCCCACTGGGTTCAGACCATAGCTGCCTCACTGTGTAGATGTATCACAAGTAACTTGATTCTGCCACAGTGAAAGCTTTGCCACAGCTTATTTCCATTAATTTGGAGCTAGTCACCTGGAGCCACCATGACTTATCATTGCAGTTGCTGGCTATCCCAATAGACTGGGGGGCTGCGGAGATTTAAATATACATCCCTTCTAGCCACCCTGGTCAGTCCTGGACCCTAATTCTCTAAGACAGCATTGCTCACTGTACTGCTCGAAGTTGCTCACTTCCTCAGATTTCATTGAAAACCCATGGGGCAGCCATGTCAAGTGATGTCACCAGTGAGGAGAGTCACAGTAGTAGAAGGTGAAGAGCTGCTGGCCAAGGCTCTCGTGGTCCAGAGTAAATGATGCGCGTGTGTACACTAGCGCACACATGTATGAGCACGCCTACCCCAGGCTGGATGGCACAGGGCATTGCTAGGTCTTTTCATTTTACACATCCCACCCCCAAACCATGACATCAAGGCAGGAACTTCAAAGATCCCCCTGCCTAGGGAATGCTGCTATCTACCATGGGGCTGCCTCTGCCCACATCAACTAACAATCCAGATATCTCCCCATACACCTGCGTATAGAACAAGCCGAGGTAGACAATTCATTAAGACTCTGTTCCCAGGTGATTCTAGGATAGGAACAAGTTGACCATTAAAGCCAGAGCTGTCATATCCCTTGTCCTTCTGCAGATGGGGGATGGGGCTGGACATGTCCATACCCTCCTCTAGAGGAAATGTTGCTATCATTTCAGCTTCTCTAACATTGAAGGGTATTCAGCCTAAATTTATTGGAAAGGGATTAAGAAAATTGTGGTCTAGAGAGCCCTCAGCTCAAAGATGCCACCTACTGCTCTCCGTTCTTCTCTTCTGACCTCTCTCTCTCACTTTTCAGATATTCTTCCATGGAGAACCCATCCCTGTGACTGTGACTGTGACCAATAACACAGACAAGGTTGTGAAGAAGATTAATGTGTCAGGTAGGACCTTCATCTCAAAACTGGAAGGCAGGGCCTTCGAGCACGTCTCAGCATCAGGCCACTCTAGGGACCACTCTAGCCTTATGAGCCCTAGCCTCACCTCTGTCCTTGGATTTACCTGTTACTCTTACCATTGAAAGCAGGATTTTTTTTTTTTTTTTTTTTTTTTGGTCTTTCAAGACAGGGTTTCTCTGTCTAGGCTTTGCTGTCCTAGAACTAACTCTGTAGATGAGGCTAGCTTCTGAATTCACAGAGATCTGCCTGTCTCTGCCTCCCAAGTACTGAGATTAAAGGTGTGTACCACCACCGACTTGCAGCTAGCAGGAACTTAAAGAAAGAAGGACATTAGAAGTCACCACATTCAGGCTGTGGACATATTTCAGTTGGGAGAGCATGCAGGAGGCCCTGGGTTCAGTCCCCAGCACGGCATAAACCAGATGGTGCATGCCTAAAACTTCAGCACTTGAGAGGTCAAGACAGGAAGATCAGAAGGTCAAGGCGGTCCTTGGCTGTATGTGTATGTTGAGGCCAGACTGGGCCTCCTGAGGACCCGCCCTCAAAAACAACAAGCTATTGCAGTCACTATCATGTTCTCTTAGGCTGCCTTTTGTCTTGGAACTTTGTATCCAGTGGGCGGGCCTTCCCGTCTTCTGGAGACATGATCCACGCCTTTCTAAATATATCCTTCCAGCTGATATCAGTTGGGAAGTCCGAGGAGATGATTCCCTTTTTGTTTTTGTTTTCTTATTGTTTATTTAATGTGTATGGGTGTTTTGGCTGTGTGTATGTCTGTGTATTGTGTGCATGCAGTACTCAGAGATGCCAGAAGGGGCATCAGATTCCTTGGTGCTAGAGCTACAGGTGATTGTTAGCTGCCATGTGGGTTTTGGGACCTGAACCTTAACCACTGAACTGTTTCTAAGGCCCCATCTCCATTTTTGGACAAGAGATAGGTTTGTTGTTGTTATTGTTGTTGACAAATACCTTAAGTGTAGTAAGCAAGGCACTAGGTTTGAAATACTGGGTTCCTGATATCCCTTGAATCCCAAGTTGGTACCCACAGTAGCGGTTCCTGGTCTACCGTCCCAGGCCCATGGGCACTAAGGAAAAGTGTTTCATGAACAGTGAAGTGTGCTGTCTCTCCTTGAATGAGTGTCTAGCGAGGACCAACTTTGTTAGGTGCTGTAATGGAGTGCCCCTGACCCCGCCGTTCCTCTATACTTCCTCAGCTCAGAGCCATCAAAGGGCAGGTCTTAGAGCATCCTGACATATATCTATAATCTTAGCACTAAGGAGATTCAGAAGGATTAAGAAGGATTGTGAATCTGAGGCCAGTATGGGCGACATAACTAATTTATGTCTCAAAACATTAAAAATATAGACAAACAACAAAATGTGTAGTCTTTTGTGGGCAAAACAAACAGCAAACAAAACCTACAATGGATTGGCCTGGGAGAGTAAATTTAGACTTCAGCTTTCAACTAAAACACTTATGGTCGAGATAAGGTAGATTTAACAACATCAGAGTAATTAGTCTTTCCATGTTAAGAAGGACAGAGGATATGGGAATTTCAGTGTTAAATTAGGCAATGTAGCTGGGCTCAGCTAGCAAGAGGGTTGAGAGTTCAAGGCCAGCCACAGCCACATGCAAAGGCCAGACTAGACTATATGAAATCCTCTCCTTTTTTTTTTTTTTTATTACTCAGTTTTTAGCATGCTTGCTGGACATAGGCAAGGTCTTGGGTTTGATCTTTAGTGTATGCCCATATACACACTTTTGGGTGCTTGCGCATGGGCGGGCACACACACACACACACACACACACACACACACACACGCAAATAGGGTTTGTCCCATACAAACCAGAAGGTGGTACAGCCCAGTTATCTGCTGTGGTTTGAATGTACCCACCCAAACAGACCTTCCTTGGTCTATGTAGTAGAGGCTATCTGGCCATTCAGGCTGCTGTAGCAAAAACACCATAAAGTAGGTGGCTCATACACTGAGATGCAGGCCTCATGTGTTTAAAACTTGATCCTCACATTCATACATTAATGATATTTGCAGGTAAGACTTTGGGAAGTAGCTAGGGTCAGTTGAGGTTAGGAGGAAGGGCCGGTAACAACACTGTGACTTTGTAAGAAGTAGAGAGACTTAAATTAGCACACCGGCCCTGCCCCCACTATTTGAGGTCCCCTGCTATTATGATCCAACAGGAAGGCCCTTGTCAGATGCAGGCACCACTTGGGAGTCCCAGCTTCCAGAGCCAGGGGCTAATTAAACCTCCATTTAAAAAAAAAACAAGTAGTCCATCTGTGGTTTCAGCTACAGCAACAGAAAATAGGCTGAGATAGTGTCAGACACATGTGCCATGCATGGTCATGGAGTTGTATATTAGACAATCTATGTTTTTTTTTTTTCTTTCTTGCTAATATAAATCCGAACTCAACCTTGTTTTATGTTGGTTTAGTTCTCTGTAGGACTAAGTTATCCAGCATGTTGTGTTCAGTGCCAATACCTTTCTTAGTCTATGCAGTAGGGTCTGTCTATCCCCTCACACTGCTGTGGCAAAAAAATACCATAAACTAGGTGGCTGATGCACACTGGGATGTGGGCCTCAGACCTTCCTGCTGCTGCCTCCCCAGTCCTGGTATTTGCAAGTAGGTGCCACTATATCCTGCTAACAATGAATAGTTATTTCTGGCAGTTCAGGAGGCTGGGAAAGTCAAGTGCAAGGTATTGGCAGATTCGTCTGTTGAGAACCTCATCCTCCGATAAGCTCCTGGTACCTCCTTGTTAATCTATCCAGGAGGGTGCCATCCCTGTGACCCTATCACTTCCACAAAAAGCCCTCCTTTTTAAAATGAATGCCCCCTTGGGCTTGTGGGAGGAACTGGCATGATGTTTCCCAGCCTGGTAACATGAGTTTGATCTCTGAAGAGTGACTCTCCCTACAAGTTGTCCTCTGACCTCCAGGTAAGTGCCTTGACATGTACATGCCCCCTCCAATAATGCAAATTTCAAAAATAATGTCACCTAAGGGTCATAATTTAAAATTTGAAAGAATAGAAGCAAACTTTCAGAGACAGCTGCAAAATTGGTAATGTATCATTGAATACTTGTATTTAAAATTATTTCTCAGAAAAGTCCATTGGTTCATGTTTGTAATGCTAGCACTTGGGAGCTGAGGCAGGACTGTGAGTTCTATAGGCTCAGCCTGGGTTACACAGTAAAACCTGTTGCAAAATAAAAATATTTTTCAAAGTTTGTTGAATACTAATAACAAAACTAATGACCTTGAAAGAAGCTATTCAGTCTTCTGAAACAAATTGTTGATAGTTTTCTATAAGTTGGGCACTGTGATAGCTGCTTTAACTTTTTTTTTTAATTCTCAAGGTTGATTTTAGGAGATTATGGGCTTGGAGGAGAGGGAGGGCTCCTGGGATTTGAATCTCAGAGCCTGGTATTTTGATGGCAGTTAATGCAGAGCAAATCATTGGTATGTAGAAATGGCCTGGAACCAGACCTTGAATTTTTGCAGCCTTTGAGCTGGGGGCTGAGAAAACTAGAACTAGATTCAAATGGTCCTGTTGTCTCCAGAAGGCACCAGGGGCCTGCACTGATCACCCGACTCCTGTCTTCCCTTTGCAGTGGAACAAATAGCCAATGTGGTTCTCTACTCAAGTGATTACTACATCAAGCCTGTGGCCACAGAGGAAACACAGTAAGTGTGTTGTCTTTCCACTTCCTGGGCGGCAGCCTACGTTGTCAACTTCCTCTTCTGAACAGGAAACTAGAATGCCCTGCCAGGCCCCCAGGCAGGGCCCCCAGCTTCTGCTTCTTCCCCTTTTCTCACAACAAGGGCTAAAAAGCAAGCCAGCATCTAAGACATGTGTTTACTTCACCTCTGGGCTGAGAGATCAATCTTCCAAAACAGGGACTCAGGGAGAAATGTCATTAAAGGGAACAACAGGGACTCTGTATCCTTGGAATGTGTTGACAGGAATGGGGTGCTTCTGCTCCCAGATGATGACTAAATGAGCTATTAACCCATGTAGAGGAATTTTGATTCAGAACATCATATCCAAAGACCTTCTAGGACTGTGTGATCCAGCTGGAATACAAACACCTTTAATCTAGGAGACAGGCAAGCAGATCTGAGTTCAAGGCCGGCTTGCTATAGAGCAAGTATCAGGTAAAGGAAAGCTGGGGTCCAGGAGTGGTGGTACATACCTTTAATCCCAAACAATGAAGGTAAAGTTAGTTTGTAGAAGGAAGCACTCATGTTTAAAAGTGATGTTTTATTGAGAGGCAGGCAGAAAGAGTGATGATTCAGAGAAAGACTTAACAGAATAGGATTCTCCCAACTCTCACAAGGAGAGGAAAGGGAAGCTACTTAAGGGACAATGTAGAGAGAGAGAGAAGAGGCAGTTTTACCAGGAGAGTTTTACAAAGAGGTATAATGAGGGAGCAAGCTAGACACAGGTGAAGACAGAATGAGAAGGAGCCAGATCAGAGCAGATTTCTAGAGTGAGCTTGAGGCCAAGCAGAGCTATTTGGAGGCCAAGAGAAAAGCCAGATTGAATAAGTCAGCTGGGAGAGGAGTTTGAGCCATAGCAGGTGAGTTGAGCCAGCCAGCCCAGAGGTCAGTAAGAACAAGAAAGGGTGAGCTTATTAAGCAGGAATTCTCAGAGGCTGAAAACATTCTATACCTAGGTTAGATGGTTACAGAGGCTAGAAGCTTCCAGAACTAGGCTTAGGTTAGCAGACAGAGGCAGTAAGCTTCCAAGACAATTAAAATAGGCAAAGAAAAGTTCCTTTTACAAGCTGGACAGTGGTGGTACACTCCTTTAATCCTAGCACTCGAGGAAGGCAGAGGCAGGCATATCTCTGTAAGTTCAAGACCAGCCTGATCTACAAATCAAGTCCAGGACAGCCATGGCTACACAGAGAAACCTTGATGCAAACAGAAAAAAAAAAGTTCCTTTTACAAACCCAAGCTAGAACTGTATTATATATTATATATATTATACATATGTTAAATATATGCATATGTATATTGGGGTTTAATGACTATATTTTGGGAATTGAGGAGATGGCTCAATGGTTAAGAGCACATACTGCTTTTACAGAGGATCTAAGGCTCACAAATGCCTGTAGCTACAACTACAGCTACAGGAAATATGACACCTCTGGCCTCTGTGGGTGCCTACACACATACACTCGTTCACACAGTAAGTAAAACAAATATTTTTAAAAGACATTTTAATCTAAGCTTAAGTATGACAGCCAAGAGAAGGAGAGGTCCTTAGCTTACAAACACAGAAAAACTCCCAAGAATATGGGCCTAGGCTTTTCAAAGAAGAATCATAGAGAGAGACCCATTCTAGCATGGGGAGGGGCTTTCCACAATCACTGATGACTATATCTTTGGATCATTTTATCAACTTGAAAATTTTGTAGCAATGACAACTTGGCTAGAAAACCGGATCCATTCTAAGCTCTTTGTGAATGACTTTCTCCCTTCAGGAGACTCAAATGCTCATAGAATCTCTCCGTAGATCCTTTGTGCCTGCCAGGGGTTATGCATTGTGCTAGGAATTGGGGTTCATTTAATACGCAGGCTGGGTGAGGGCTTGGATATGCATCTCCACCTCACCAGGGTGACAGGAAGGTTGGGGAGGAAGGGAGGAGTGGGTGGTGAGGAAAGAAAACCTGATTCATGTATTTAAAATCCAAATTCAGAGTAAGCTACTACTAAAAACAAATACAGCCTCGTATTTAAATATAGGTATACAGTGTTAAGAAAGAGAACAGCTGCTGGGAGGTGGCGGCACAGGCCTTTAATCCAGCATTTGGGAGGCAGAGGTAGGAGGATCTCTGAATTGGAAGCCAGCCTGGTCTACAGATTGAGTTCTAGGGCAGCCAGGGTTACACACAGAAACCCTGTCCTGAAAAAAAAAAAAAAGAAAGGAAGGAAGGAAGGAAGGAAGGAAGGAAGGAAGGAAAGAAAGAAAGAAAGAAAGAAAGAAAGAAAGAAAGAAAGAAAGAAAGAAAGAAAGAAAGAAAGAAAGAAAGAACAAGAAGAGTACCTCATAGCTGACTTCCAACAGTCTGGGAGGTTCAAGTCTTGGCCTTGACTGGCCTTTTGGCAGCTGCTCCATAACTGTGGGACTCGTTGTCATTACAGTTCTTTCTCATTCAAAACTTTGTGTGCTTTTTTGACAGAAGAGTGGACACCATTCTAAGATTTCCCTGAGGGCAGGAGGAATCTAGAAACGGGGCCAGATCACATTCGATTTTTCATTGTTGGGACAAATACCTGAGTGAACAAAACTGTCCAGGGGAATATCTGTCCCTTTCACAGTGTCTGTTTGTCACAGCAAGGTGGGCGTGGCAGAGCCGAGCAGCTGGGGTTGGAGGGACCAGAGAATGCCAGCACCAGCAGGATCTCTCTCTCTCTTTTCCCTCTTTGATTACAGCCAGTCTTCTAGCCTATAAGATGGTAGCGCTTGTATTCAGGGCAATCTTCCCCTCTGGGTTAATCCTCTCTGCAAATGTTCTCACAGACACATTCAGAGCCCAGCTTTTCTAATCTCCAAGGCACTTCTCAAAACAGTCCCGTTAAGATTAACTCTCACACTTGTCTCATAGTAGAGGCCACTGGGAAGGCTGCAGAGCCCAAACCACTCTTCCAGACACACCCAGTGCAGCTGGGGCTCTGGTGGGCCGGCTTCCTCAACCAGGTCAACCCTCGCTTCTAAGCTGCTGCTGACCATGCAGTCTGAGATCCTAACAGCCCTTCTTCAGAGGACTGTGGGTTTGGGATAGTCCTTTAGCAAATTCTACTACAAGAACAGCTATCATCCCAGCCTGAGGGCCCTCTTTCAGGACAGTCAAGCTGGAGAGAGAGGGTGAAGGAGAGAGAGAGAGGGAGAGGAAAGAGATAGCACCATGACCTAGGTGGGAGGGTGTGCCTGCCTCTTCTCATACTCACCAGAGGCCAAAGACACTTTAAACTCCCGGGGTGGGGTGGGGGAGCTAACAGGGAAGTCCTTCCCTTGGGAGGTGGTTCACATTCCCAAATGCCTGGGAACTCACTCAGGAAGTGGTCTACACGCTACTGTCGGCCCTCAGCCCAGGCCTGCTGCAGCAGAATGACTAGTCCAGCCTTGATATCACTTTAGGACCCCAGGAACACTATATCCGCAGCCATGTGCCAGAATTGCCCCCTGGCACAGGGGGCCTATGTTCTATACTTCTGTCTATCAGACATAGAGAAACGCACAGCCCTCTGCAGAAGCCCCAGTGAAGAAGGAGCTGTGATGCTTTGAACCAAAAGCAGAGTGGTCTGTCTGGGTTACGGGTGGTTGCAGGCCCTCCATCAGTGATGCGCTGACAGTTTTGGCTACAGTGAGTGGTCCACAATGAGCCTTTCTGCTGACACTAACCCAGAGGTTCTGCTGCCCACTGTGGGGTTCAGGAAATCTCTGGAGTGGCTGAGGTCTTGGACATTTGGCTAGTTGGTCTCATTTGTTTGTTTATATATTTATTTGTTTTTTTTTTTTTTTCAAGACAGGGTTTCTCTGTATAACAACAGCCTTCGCAGACCAGGCTAGCCTCAAACTCACAGAAATTCTCCTGCCTCTGCCTCCTGAGTACTGGGATTGAAGGCGTGTGCCACCATGCCTGGTTTGTTTTGTTTTTTGAGACCGGGTCTCTTTATGTAGACCAGGATGGCCTTGAATTCAGAGATTCTCCTGCCTCTACCTCTCAAGTGCTGGGATTAAAGGTGTACGCCACCATGCTTGGCTAGTCTTACTTTTAGTGTGTTTCATTTGCTGTAGACTTGTTTAGCTTAGGGTTTTTATTTTATCCTCTGTGTGTCCTGGGATTACAAATGTGTACCACCACCACTGGCTATTGGTCTTATTTAGCCCCATAGAACATTTCAGAAATTTAGTAATTTAGAACAGGCTGAGAGGCTTAAGGAATGTCCCAATGTTGTGTGTGTGTTGTGTGTTGCTTGTGTGTGTGCAGGTCAAAAGTTGGTATTAGGTGTTTGCTTAATTGCTCTCTGACTTACTTTTTTAGGAAAAAAAATTATTTAGTGTGTGTGTGTGTGTGTGTGTGTGTGTGTGTGTGTGTGTGTGTCCCATGTTTGTGCCTGGTGCCCATGGAGACTATAAGGAGGCACTGGATCCCTTGGAACTAAAGTTAGACTTTGCCACATGGGTGCTGGGAACTGAGCTCTCTGTAAGAGAGTCAAGCACTCTTAACCACTGAACCATCTCCACCCCTTATTTTTATTTTTTGATACAAGTCTCTCACTGAATTTGCATATCAATGATTCAACTAGACTGGCAGGCCAATGAGTTCCTGGAATCTGCCTTCTACCTCTCCAGTTTACAGAAACTGCAGGAGACAGCACAGGACTTTCCTTGAGAACATGTGCCACATGTTTTACCAACCGAGCCATCTCTGCAGCCCTGGAATGTCTCAGTCTTGCTGCTCACAGGCTCTCATGTTTTCACAACAACATGTCCCATTGCCCAGTGAGGGAACTTTGACTCTGAAAATGCTCCTGGCGGATAGGATCTTGAGCTGTTGATGGCTGTGACATGGTGTTGATGGTGGCTATGGTAGCCATAAACTCTTCCTGGTTCTTCCTCAAGAGAAAGAGTGCAGCCAAACAGCACGTTGACCAAGACGCTGGTGCTGGTGCCTCTGCTGGCTAACAACAGGGAGAGAAGAGGTATCGCGCTGGATGGGAAGATCAAGCATGAAGACACCAACCTGGCCTCGAGCACCATGTGAGTCCTGGAAGCTGTGGGAATGGGTCATCAGGGGGGCTGCTACTGGGCTGCCCCAGGGGCTCATGGGTGGGCACATCAGAAATTCTCCTACTTCAACTGTGTCATGATGTTGTAGTTGTCCAGGTTGGCTCTGGACATAGCCTTACACCAAGCACAGTGTCACTGCCTGCCCTCCGGGTGGCCATGGCCAAGTTCCTTGAGCTCTCTGAGAACCTCAATTTTCCTGTTTGGAAAGTGGGCTTAATCATAGTTCCGATCGCACATGCCAGTGATGAAGACTAATTGGGACAGTTATGTAAAGCTTGTTGTCTGACACTCAGAGAGTCTGGAAATGTCCGTTACTTCTAAATGAACTGCTAGTTCCTGTGGAACCCTGAACACGTAAACGGAGTTACTGCGTTTGGCTATTTTTAGCTGTTCATTTCCGTCTGGAAAGATTGGACGACCCACTGACTACTGATAGGCACCAGATTTTCTTGAAAAGAAGAGCTGACTTGCCAACTCTGTTTTGGAGAACTGCTAGCTTGATTTAGGCAAAAGATCTGGGGGGGGGGGAAACTAGTGAAGCTAGCTGCTAGCTGCCCTTCTAGGCCTCATTTGCTGGGAGACTATAGGCTGCTAAACTCTAAAGATGTGAGGCAGGAGCCAGAACCCAAGCTTGAGACCTACTTCCTGCCCTCTCCCACAAGAGGTGCTGAGGGCTTCCTCCTGGTCCCACTGGAGTCCCCTCAGAGGTGATGTTCTAAGAGAAGAAAAAAAAAAAATAGAGTGTTCTGACCCATGTGGACCTGTAGCTCACATTCCATGAGGCCAGTAGCAGGGACAGTGAATATTTGGCAGAACAAAGAGGGGAATCAAGGAATTTTCTGAAGAGAATTTGCTGTCTATGTTAGATTCTAAAGTATGTTCCCGAAATTTCAGGGAAAGAACATTGATGCCCTAGAATGACTTAAGGGGGCAAATGATCTGATGCCAGCTGCACACCCTTCTGCAAAAGTTATTTTTACAGCACCTGGGGTGGTTTACAAACACAACTCTCCACACCTTTGGGAAGAACGTGGACTTGTCCTCATTTTTGATACACAGGGCACCATCCCCCAGTACAACAGGGTGAAAAAACTCAGGAAGGGTCACTGGATGAGGTCATTGTTGAGCAGGTCCGGGCCACATGAGCTCTCCTACTCAGGAAAATGGTGGGAAGAGCCCTTGAAGTCTCAGGCATGTTCTGTTCCATACAGGACAAGTTTATGAGCCAATCCCAGCAAGAGTATGGCCTCAGCTCCTGTCTGTGTCTCCATCCTCCCACCAGATGGTGATGCTCTTTGGGGAGTGCTGTGGTCCTAGGGCACATGATCCAGCAGGAGGCCTGGAGCTGGACACAATTCTGCTGCCTAGCCTGGCCCCAGAGCCCAGGACTGCCAACATCAGTTCCCTCTGCCTCCTGCCCTCAGGGTTCCCAGTTGAGATTTGTTGTGGTTCACGTTAGCCTAGCTAGATTTCATACTTATTTTTTTAATCCCATAATTCCTGTTGTCAGACATCACAGAGCGCTTAACTTGTCCATTTTGGGTCACAGGAGAAAATAATCTGTGACAAAATGCCCAGTGGGGAACTTGATTGAGGAATTACATACATGATCGTGGAGTCTGGAGTTACCCTACAGTTTCTTTGGGTATATGTCACACCCCTTTTCATCAACTTAAGTGAGCTTTCCCTTCGTGTCAGGTGCCATGCTGGCTGCTGGGCACACAGAGCTTTTGGGTGCAACCCAGAACAATTATGATCCTGTGGTCAAGTTCTAGGAGAGAGTTCCTGTGACTTTCTCATGAGCAGAGCACAGGAGAGGGAAACCTAGTGCTACCTGGCTGTGTCCAGGAAGGCTTTAGGGTTGGAGGTTCTGGGGTGCAGGAGGAGAAAGACCTGGGTAGGGTCAGAGCTGACAAGGTTGGTGCTAAGGGGCCTTGGGGGCATAGCTGGGTAGGATGTGGCAAAGGCACCTCACAGATTGTTAGCTGCAGTTGGAACCTGGATGAACTGCGCTCTCTTGGGCTTCAGGGAGGACCTAGCAGCTACAGAATGGTGGGCAGGGAAGGCAGGGAAGGGGAGGAGCAGGAATGTGAAATAGGCGGGAAGCTGAGCCTGGAGAAGAAGGGTGCTGTGCCCTGTGTGAACGCCATAGGGAATGATTTAGAGAACCCAGTCCCCAGCCTCATGATTGGGTAACGTTCTAAGACTTGAGGCCAATCTGTAGAATTCTCCAGTTTCAAGACATTTTTAGAATGGTGGCCCTGGCAGGAGAGGCAGGATGGTTCCCACACTGTCATAATCCTTCTCCTTCTTTTCGATTGGGTAGCGTCAAGGAGGGCATTGACAGGACTGTCATGGGCATCCTGGTGTCATACCATATCAAGGTGAAGCTCACAGTGTCAGGGTAAGTGTTGGGTGCTCCATCTCTGTGTGCCCTGTTCCTCCCCTGAATTATTGGCAGGTGGAAGGCAAAGGAAGCCCAAGATACCTGCTGATTCCCACAAGGAGTATGGCATGGTTCCCTCTGTCAGCTTCTGCAGTTTTGTTGGAGGCAGTGTGTCCTGGAAAAGCAAACTGAAATACGTGTACCATCAGGACCGCTGAGCAGAAATGGGTGAACATCTACAAACACAGTAGAAGCTGACAGGCAGACCTTTTTGCAAAAAGATCTTTGCTAGGTTAAAAGAAAGAAATTAGAAAAGGACATCAGTTTAAGTTTTCAGATTTCAGAAAGACTAGCAGCTGTCTGATGAACTCTGTAAATCTTTCTTTATTTGAGTTTAGTGTGGTGGCACGAGCCATCTTGGGGGGCTGGTCAGCCTGTGATAAAACATGGTGAGACCCTGGTTTTGTTTTAGCTTTAGATTTTTTGTTTTTAAATTGGGGCTGGAGATGCAGTTCAGGTGGTAGAGTGCTTGCCTGACAGGCACGAAGCCCTGCCTTTGATCCTCACTACCAAGTACATGGGACACATCATCACACGCCTGTAATTCACCATTGCAAAGCAGAGAAAGTTCAGAAGCTCAAGGACATCCTTGGCTACAAAGAAGTTTTAAGGCCTGCCTGAGGTCTAGAAGACCCTGTCTTAAAAAACAAACAAAACAAAACAAAACTCAAGTATGTCATGTTAGTGTGCCCCTGTAATCCACCGCTTGGGAAGGAGAGGCAGGAGGATTGCTGTAAATTCTGTTACGTCAAGGACTGCGAAAAAGAAGAGGGAGAAGTTTATTGATATCTTAGACTTTTCTGTCCTTAAAGGGATTCCTTCCTTCCTTCCATTTCCTAACATCACATAATTAGGGACTGGTCACCTTTTCATACAAAATTACTGCTATCGAGAGTTTCTAAAGAAATGAATTCCTTTTAAGGACTTCTTAATTTTTATTGTATGTGTATGGGTATTATGCCTACATGCATGTAAATGCACATACGGTAGCGCACAATTTCAGTCCCAGCACTTGGGAGGCAGAGGCAGGCAGATCTCCCTGAAGGCCACCCTGGTCTTATCAAGTTCCAGCACATCCAGGGTGTAGAGAAAGCCCCTCTTTGTTTCAACAAACAAAATAAAACAAAACAAAACAACAACAAAAGAGTAGCCAGTTCTCTCAACCATCTTCCCAGCCGCAAGAGCCCATTTTCTTTCTTTTTTGGGGGTGATGGTGGTGGTGAACTCAATATCCTCCCTCTAACTAAAGGAGAGGAATTGAATTCTCATTCTACTTTCAGATTCCATCCCACGTCCCAGCTGTGCTTGCTGGCCTTTTCTCTTGATGGGCCTGGGTTAGCCTGGCCATGTGAGTCTCTGTGCATGTCCCTATTTTTAAGTAGAGAGACAGTCCCCCAATTTTGCATGGGTCTGATTTGGATATTTGTTTAACCTGGCGATTATATTCCTGTGCTTTTCTTTTCTTTCCTTTTTGAAGACAGAGTCTTACTGTATAACCCTGGTCTGAGAGTTTTCTTTCTCAAAATTTTAAATTTTGTTTGAGGGAGGTTTCTACTATATGAGCTTGAGTAAGGGTCTCTCTTGCAGTCCCTCTGCCTCTTGAGAGGACTGAGGACTCTGGTATGCTCCACCACCACAGGGCAGCTGGGTATTTCTGGTTCTACGGCTTATGTCTGACTTATCTAAGTGACTCCACTCTTTAAGCTATTCTTCAGAGAAAGAGGGGAAACCCACGGCAGGCAGCAGTGAGACTGAGCCTTGAGGGACCCTGCAGTCCTGGAATTTGTGTTAGGAAGTGAAAGCCATGCCTACCAGGCTGGGTGGGAGACTATTCGCCTTTGAACACTAGGACCTGAAGTTGTATAGCCTCTGGGGACTTAAAGTGCCTGTTTGCTTTGTGTTTTCCAGCTTTCTAGGAGAGCTCACATCCAGGTAAGCCTTCTTTGCCTCTCTTCTCCATTCAGCTCCCATGAGAGCTGGGACAAGGAGCCTGCGACTGAACAGAAACTGGTAAAAACTAGTTTCTGGGCAGCAGTGTTCAAAGATACTATAAACAATGCATGCTGACTCAGACGTGTTCTAAGAGAGGTCACCAGCAGCCAACAGGTGACTATTAGTAGGCGTGCGTGTAGGCAAGGACACACACACACAACACAACACACACCCTTAAAAAAACTAGTGTACTCTGTCCAGTTATCATTTGTGTGTGTTGGATGGTACAAGCCACTTATGACAAGTTTTACCATTTTAATCACTTGTAAAGATACGCCATCGAATGAAGTACATTTACAATGCCATACAACAATCACCACTACCTAGGTCTGTTTACTCTTCAAAGCATTTTAAACATCTGTAAAGGAGACCCAGTGCTTGTTAAGCACTCCTTTTCCCTCTCCACAGACCCTGGAAAGCACTGGTTGCTTTCTGTCTCTATAGATCTCCCTCTGCTGGGGCTGGGGACGCGGCTCAGTGGGTAAAGCATTGCCTAGCATGCACAAAGCCCCAGGTTCAGTTCCCAGCACTGCATGAAACTGAGAAGGGTGGTACATACCTGTAATCCCAGCACTGGAGAAGTAGGGGGGGGGAGGATCCCGTTTCTTTGGTTATCTTTGACTGTCTGCATAGAGAGATCTTGTCTTAAAAAAAACCAAACACCAAAACCAAATCTATATGTGGCCTTTGTGACTGGCTTCTTTTATTTACTGTGTTTTCAAGACTTAATCATGATGTAGCATCTTCTACAGTACATTCCTCCTCGTGACTGAGTAATAGTCCATTGTGTAGACATACCACATTTTGTTTGTTCACCTGCGGTGTTGACTCTGGATCTCAGAATGAGTGATGCTGACCTGGGAACATAGGTTCAGGTTTCCAAATACCATGTTCTGACATAGAAACAGTTTTATGAAGTTTTTTTTTTTTTTTTTATAGCAAAAGAACAAAGAAAATCATAGATCAAAGTTGTTTTTTCCTTTTAATACAGTGGTGAGGTCATCGGGTAGGCAGGTTATAGCTAAGTGGGAAAATCTTTGCTGTAGGCCTCAGGTTCTGTCTTGGTGGCATTCTTAGATGTGGGGCTAGCAGTCTATTTGTACATCCCCCAAAGGATTTTACACAAGGATGCCAGGTCAAATAGAAGGGCAGGTAACAAATGGCTACTGAGGGTTAAAGATTGACCAAGATAAATTTGTCTTCAGAGCTGCAACATTCCTACTCGCCACAGTCACAAGATTTCTAATCAATCATTCAGCCTTATAGAATTTTTAACAAAGATGTGACTTTTTTTTTTCCTCCTGAAAACTTTAGTTCCCAGCAGACACTTGAATTGTTTCTACCTTTTGGTAAATGCGAATGGTGACAGGTGTCTTTTGAACCACGCACAAAGAACCAACAAGTTTGGAAATATTTGAGGCAATTGTTCTCCTGACATAGTCCTTGGCCTCAGTTCTTATCATCTTCTCCTATCACCTGGGCTACTAGGCAGGTCAACTGATTAGAATCTCTGTGATGTGGGGAGTTGGAATGTTGCAGGTCTGGAGCTGAATCATCCTGGGTCATCCTTTGCCCTTAAAAGCCCTTTACTGCCCGTCTCTGTGTTTCACTTGACATTTCATCTAGATTGGACTGCACCTGGATCACTGTAAGCAGGTCAGAGCTGGATAGGCAGCAGGGGTCCTGGGATGTTAGGCATAGCCTCTGTTTTCTCATCCCCCTTTCCCACTTCCATTCATAATTTTTCTTGATTTCCCTTTGGCTCGGATTTCTGACACCTTCTTCTCATATAAATTCTAATGTAGCCTAAAACATTTTAGTATTAGAGATGTGATGGACTCTGCCTCTCTCCACGATTTGCAAGAAATGGCCATGCCAACCCTTGTAACAGCCACACAGAGATTTTTTTTTAAACTATTCTTATGATTTTGAGGGATTAAGGGATTTATTTTCAGTCTGTGGAGAAGTAAGTATAGAGAGAGTCATGCATGCACCACAGCAGAGGTCGGATTTGATTTTAACTTTCCCCCGGCAGAATGATGTCCTGAAGCATAGTCTAGCTTTCCAGACTTTTATGTTTGGTGGCCATGCTTTTCCATAGCATCCATTCACATCGTCTAATTTGGATCTAGACCCTTAAAACTGTTCCAGGATTCTGTTAAGTGAGTGAAGAGGCCACTCCGTATCACTGCACACGATGGACAACAGACAGGAGAGTTTGTAAAAAGGTGTAAAAAGGAGGTGCCATGTGCTTTCACGAAGCTGACGAAGGAACTTTTGCTACCTGAGTTTCTGGTGGCATGCTGATATCAGCAAAGGAGTCTGGTGGTGAGGACATGTTAGGTACCTGGGCAGCTTGCAGCCTCTGCCCCTGTGCCCCAAGGGCTGGAGCTGTAAGTGAAGACTGTGACCACAGATACCCACAGCTACAGTGTCACAGACAGTGATTTTCAGAGGTGGCTGTTGGGTCCACTTCCTCCGGATTGCTGTTCAAGGGTAAGGAGGACGGAGACGCTGCACTTCTAGTTTGGTTTTCATATACTACGGTATCATCATCATCATTATTACTATTTTAGTGTGTATGAATGTCTTGCCTTCAAGTGTGTCTGTGTACCACTTGTGTACCTAGTGTTCACACAGGCCAGAAGAATGTGTTAGTTCCTACAAAATGGGAGTTACAGATGGTTGGGAGCCTCCTTGTAGGTGCTGGAAATCAAAGCCATGTCTTCCAGAAGAACAGCCAATGCTGTTAACTGCTGAGCCATCTCTCCAGCCCCTCACATAAAAATTTAAAATGTATTCAAATGTGTCTTGCTGCAATAAATGGTTTTTTTTTTTAAAGATTTATTTTAGGGTGTGTGTACATGAATGCAATTATCTGTGAAGTCCAGAAATGGGTGTTGGATCCCCTGGAGCAGAATTACAAGCAGTTGTGAGCTGCCTGATGTGGGTGCTGGGAACTGAACCAGGGTCCTCTGGAAGAGCAGCAAGGGCTTTCAATGAGCCATCTCTCCAACCCCATGAATAGTTTTTGTTTGTTTTTTTCAGACAGGGTTTCTCTGTGTAGCCCTGGCTGTTTTGGAACTTGCTTTGTAGACCAGGCTGGCCTCGAACTCACAGAGATCTGCCTGCCTCTATCTCTGTCTCTGTCCCTGCCTCTGCCTTATGAATAGTGCTTTTTAATAACCAGTCTTCCTGTAGGGTTTTACCTCTTCCGTTCCCACAGTTTCACATCAGTGCAGCTAGGATATGGGGAGCTAAAAACACTAGCTGCCTCAGTCATGCCTGAGTGAAGTTCCTGGACCACATTCCAGGGAATACCTTTCAAATTCCTGCCTGACTACTTCCTGAAGTCTGTTTCATTTTGTTTTGTTTTGAATCTCACTGAATGAATCTTCTGAAAAATCTCTGCAGCTCCAAGGTTGTGCTGTGTGATCTGCAACTGTGTGTGTGTGTGTGTGTGTGTATGTGTGTGTGTGTGTGTGTGTGTGTGTGTGTGTATACTCACCAGCCTGTAATCTTCCTTTTTTCTAGTGAAGTGGCTACTGAAGTGCCATTCCGCCTCATGCACCCACAGCCTGAGGACCCAGGTCAGTCATTCCCATTGTCCAAGATGCCCCTTATCCACTCACCACTGGCATATTTGTTGCGCATTAATTTATCCCTGGTCTTCCTTGACTAACTTTCTAAACCTGGGTGTCATCTACAAGGTGAGCAACCAGGCCAGCCTGGAAGGGAGAGCCAGCTCACCTGCTCAGCCCTGGGCCTGCACACCACCACCTGTGTGCAGAGGGCATAGTGTCCCTACCCTCTGTTGGATGCAGATGACCTCATGAGATTTTATCAGCAACAGTGTCACTGCAGAAGCTTGCTGGCCACAGACCTTGATTTTGATTTAGATGATGTAAGAAACAAATCTTTTGAAGAACCAGAGGCTTTGCTTTATTTTGTATGGGAACAAAAGTCCTCTCATTTAGAAGTGTCAACAGGCATTTAGAAGACGATACATATTTTTGAAAGTAGTTCTAGTGATGAGATTACAGAAAATACTAGCAAAGGTCAGCCTGGGTTCCCACCATCTCCGTTCATTTGATGATCCATCCACTGACTCTTGTGTGCATGTTAAAGCCGTAGTTGCACATCTGTGAACGCACTGAAACTCTCTCTGCAAAGATGGGGAATGGGATGTTGTGTGAACTAGAGCTCAAGGAGGTGCTGAGAAAAAAAGTTAAATGAAAGAAGGTGTGGTTGGGATACGCCTATAATCCCAGTACTCAGGAGCTGAGGCAGGAGGGTGGCAAGATTGAGGCCAGTTTAGGCTGTAAAAGCAAGACTATTAAAAAATAATTTCTCAAAGTATCTCTACCAAATATTTTAGATTTAAATCCTCAGTGCACTTTGCCAAAAGCTTCCCTATGGGAGAAAGTACAGTCTAGTCAGACATTTTGGTTAATTTACATTTGTCTCATTAAAATGGTGTTTTAAACATTTATTTGGGACTAATTGGGATGGCAATCCTAGAAGACAGATTCAAGTGTTTGTTTGTTTGTTTGTTTTTTAACACAGGGTTTTTCTGTGTAGCTCTGGCTGTCCTGGAACTCATTCTGTAGACCAGGCTGGCCTCGAACTCAGATATCTGCCTGCCTCTGCCTCCTGAGTGTTGGGATTAATGGCACGGGACACAACTGCCCAAGCAGTCTTGAAAACATGTTCTTCAATTATTTTTTTCCTTTCATTTTTTTTCTTCTTTTTGCTAGGAATTAACTCAATATCTCACATGATAGGCAAGTGTTCTGCTACTGTGCCTCATTCCCAGCTGCAATATTTATGTGTAATTTTTAAAAGGTGTAAGATTCAAATGTTCTGGTTCCCTTCAGAGAAAGTGAAAATGCAGTCCCTTGAGATGCCACCGTTTATGTTGCGTCATTTCCTGAACTTTCAGTAGAGGCGACTTACTTTGGAAGAAGCGAATTTATTCTTTCTTCAGTTAGGGATTTTCATATACCACACAACTTAGAATGTCTGGATGTAACAGTGATCTTTCTTTTATTATTATTGTTGTTGTTTGACACAGGGTTTCTCTCTATGTAGCCCCAACTGTCCTGGAACTTATGCTGTAGACCAGGCTGGCCTTGAACTCACAAAGATCCGACTCCCTCTGCCTCCCAAGGGCTGGGATTAAAGGTATGCACTACCTTAAATCTTAAAGTGTGCTTAAGATTTCAGAAAGTGGGGGCTAGAGAGACAGCTTCAGTGGTTAAGAGCATTCATTCTTGCAGAGGACAGGTTGGATTTCCAGCCCTCACATGGGCCCCTCACAACTACCTGGTACACCAGTTTCAGGGGATCCAGTGCCCTCTTCTGACCACTATGGGCACTTCACATATATGGTGCATATACAGACATACAGGCAAAACATTAACACATATAAAATAAAAATAAATACAAAATAATAATGAAAATTTCAGAGATCAAGCATTAGTACAAATCAGCCATGGCTGCAGAACTCTGGTTTCCTGAGATTTGTGACTGGGCTTCCTGTCTTCCATCTTCCCTGCCTGCTTCCTGTGCGCTGAGTCTAGGTTGGTTAGCTTCCAGGCAGGAAGTACAGCCATTCCTTAGCCCCCCTCTCCCCCCGCCACTCCTTGAACCAGGACCCTGGCAATGTGTTCCCAGTATGTGTTGTAAAATGCTGCTCGGCTTTTATTGTCCCTGGTCAGGTGTGGGTTGCTGTTCTTGTGGTTTACCTCCTTAGGCACAAGGTTCCTCTACTTAACAGAATAAAATTCTGGGATATCTCTTGTTGGGAGAAGTTTCACTTTACCTTAAAATTCTATTGTACTGACAGTTGAATGGAAAGGCCTGGAAGGGTAGGCGAGTGTTCTACCACTAAGCTCTAGCCCTAGCCTTCTTTTTGTTATTTTGAGAGAGAGTCATGGTGGCACAGGCTTGTCATTTCAGCTTCCAGGGGTGTTTCGAAAGGGCGTTATGAATTCAAAGCTAGTCCAGGCAACTTAGTGAGAACCTGTTCTGAAATTTGAAAAAAAAAAAAAAAAAAAAAAAAAAAGTTTAAAAAGTACTGGGAGGCTGGAAGTTCAAGGTCCTCTGCAGCTATGTAAAGATTTTTAGGTTAACCTGGGTTAATGGGTTAAACATGATTAAAAAATAATTGAGCCAGGTGTGGTGGCATATACCTTTAATCTCTGCCTCAGGGAGGCAGAGACAGGTAGATCTCTGTGAGTTCAAGTCTAACCTGGTCTACAAGTTAAGTCCAGGACAGCCAGAGCTACATAGTGAAACTCTCTCTTAAAGCACCCCCCCAAAAAAGAAAGAAAAATTAATTGATTTCTCTCTCCCTCTATTCTCTCTCTCTCTTCTTATCTCCCTCCCCTTTCTCTCTTTCCCTTTTTCTCTCACTTCCCTCCCTCTCCCCTTTACCCTGGGCTTACAGAAAAAGAAAGGTGAGTCATCTGACTGCTTCTCTGAGTTTTCCTGTGTTTTGTGACCCCTCCTCACACACAAACTCCTCTCTGAATGTCTGTGCAGAGTCTCTGTGTCCTTTTGCTCCTTAGAACTTTAGATGTGTGCACGCATTGTTATGTTGGCTGTGTCTTTTGTTCTGTGGGTCTCTCACTTTCCTCTTGATTTTTGTGTGTTAAAGAGCTTTTAAGCCAGTCTTAGCTAGGAGTGATGGCTTACCTTCAATCCAGGTACATGTGAGGCTGAGGCAGGAGGATTACTGAAAGTTCAAGGGCAGCCTGGGCTACAGAATGAGACTATGTCACAAGAACAAAAACAGAAATGAAACAAACAAACAAAAATCCCTGAAGAAAAAGGCATGGTCCCTGTTCCATCCTGGGAATGGCATGTCCCTGTTCCTCCCTGGGGAAGGAGCACATTCATCTTGGATTGGTTACCTTAAGTGCAGAAAGATCAGTGGTCTTGTTTCATTCGGGATTTCATCCTCAGCTTCAGAAAGTAAGCACTCACTAATATACTGTCTATTTTCTTCTAGTGTTCAGGATGAAAATTTGGTTTTTGAGGAGTTTGCTCGTCAAAATCTCAAAGACTCTGGAGAGAACACAGAAGGGAAGAAAGATGAAGATGGGGGCCAGGATGAATGAAAAGTTAGCCTAGGTGCCTAGAAACTGCTTGTAGTTCCGGGTACCATGAGCAAAACCCCCGGTAACCTTTCAGAGTCATGCTAGATATGAAAGTATTAGTATTCCTCTCAGAAATAAAGTCTGAGTCCTCAGATCACATGTCTGTTTGATTGATGTTTGATGGCTGTTTGATTGGGGCCTTGGGCTGTTGTCAGTGACATAGAATCTGACATCTTTAGGGTCTCTGGAGCCTGGGAATGAGGGGCAACACCTATAAGAAAGGGCAGCCTTTCAAAGAGTGGCTCAGTGCCACTGTGTTCTCCAGTTTGGGGGTTTCAGGGCTTTTCAGCCCTGCATCTCTAGACACACATGGGGCGGTAAGGTTTCCTGGCAAGTCCTAGCTCAAGGGCCCTTTCGGAGGCTCCTGAGGTAATAGAGCAGAAAACAAGTGTAGGCAAAAACACCCTTTGCAGTCCAATCACCTCTCAAACTTTCAGTTGCTAGTCAAATTTCTACTGGACACACTCAACCAAACCAGACTTGGTGAATGAAAGAGGGCAAACAGAAAGTCAGTCCCTGGAGTATCCAAAAAACTTAACTAAACTGAGGAAGAACCTGAGCTGTCACGCCCAGTGTGGGCAGAAGCTATCAAGGTCCTGGGAACTCAGTTGAGAAGCTGGGACTGGCACCCAGTGGGCCATTTTACACCTAGCCACTGCTGGATAGCGCTTCTGGGAAAGGAGAATCTGACTGACCCAGCATTGGCTTGGTGGGCCAACATCTCATGGCAGGCAGTGGCAGAGCCCAGGCTTGGAAAGGTTTATCAAGACAGATGGACTTCATGATCATGCTGTTATTAGGAAGATGGGATCATAGAGAATGCTGTGTTCAGTCAGAGGTGGGGAAGGAGGCACAATAGGGGCTCTTCCAGGCCCTTTCGATCACTGTTGCCAGCCATAGTGTTCAGCAACCTGTATTGTACCAAATAATTTTCTTGGCGGCCACAGAGGGGACCATGTGTGTCCGAGGTGTGGGGGCGATGAGTCGGGATTTCTGTATGGTTTCACCTCAGTATTGGCAGGCTGTATGTGTATGTAATTAATTACTTTTCTTATTAATGTGACACAACACCTGACAAAAGTCACTTGAGGAGGAGGGTTTTATTTTGGCTTGTGGTTTGAGGGGAGACAGTCTATTGTTGGTTCAGAGAGCATGAGGAAGCTGCATCTATGGTTTCAGAGAGGAAGGAATGTTGGTGCTCAGCTTGAGCTCTTTTTGTTTCAGGCTAAATCCCCTCACCTTAGTTAAGCCTCCTTAGCGAAGCTTTCAGAGACACACCCAGAGGTGTTTCCTAGGTGATCCTAAAATGCCACTCAAATTGGCAGATTAACCTCCACAGTGTGCATTTCTAGGATTGGATTTCCGGTGCCAAGAGCAGCAGTAGAGAGCTGAGATTGTGTGTGCATGAAGGTGCCAACTTCTGGCTTTCAGGCTGGTGTGTGCGCCGTGGTGCTTGGGATTTGGACGCAGAGGCATATAGCTGGGATCCTTGCCCAGTGTCCCACACAGACAAAGCAAGGCTTGGACCTGTGTGCTGACTGTGGGGTTCCCTGGTACTGGCAGAGATGAGAACTCGTTTCTGAAGCTATGAAAATAGTAATATACATGGAAAACTGTGGGTTGGAGGGACAGACACAGTCTGTCTTTTTTTCCTCCCAAGCTGGGGGCGTAGCTACATACCATTGCATGCCCCTGTCATGGTGCCTGGGCAAAGGGATGGATTCTTTCGAGGGAGCCCACACTGTGCTTCCTTATGATTTCTTCCCCTGCTTTTTGACCAGGCATAGTCTATGGTGGTGTGAGTAGAGATCCCTGCCAGCCTAGAAGGCTGGGATCCTGCCTAGCAGCTCCTGGTGAGAGAACCATCCTGCTGGTTCCTGCATTGCTTGACCCCAGGACATCCTAAATCAGTAGACATTAATAGGCCCGACCTTTGGAGCAGCGTGGGTGAGAGAGCTGGGAGGGAAGGGCCAGACCCAGTGCCCTGGAGACCAGAGGTCAGAACAGCCCTTGCCCTCCAAGTTATTTCTGTGCTAAAACATCCAAAACAGACCTCCAGGTGCTGGTTTGTTTACTGCAGCTGTGGAAGGAGTGGGGACAGGAAATCAGCTGCCCCAGCAAGCCTGTGCTCTGTGTGTGTGTGTGTGTGTGTGTGTGTGTGTGTGTGTGTGTGTGTGT